CCTCTAGGTCCCAGGCTTGGAGCTTCTTCAGTCCCAGGACTCAGCTGGCAAATCCAAAGGCTTAAAGCCTTCCATCCCCTCCAGTGCTGGAGACTGATGCCTAATTGCTATGGAAATCTTGTTTCCAGGGAAAAAGGGTCTCCAACCTTCTCTCAGCTGGGCGATTTCTTTTCAGTGGCTCATAGTTTGGCTATAGGCCATTTGGAGACAGACTTCCCCAATCAGAGAAAGACAAAGTCTTTGCACTATTCACAGTCTTCCAGAGCCTGAATGAGGAAGGTTGTAGTAGGGGCAGAAAGTGTGATTTAATTTTCCCCCCACATCCTCAAGAAGGATCTGCTTGGCATTAATTCCCTCTTTTTGTCTCTGTTTCTTCTTTCCAGATATAGTTTTATCATGTTTCTCCTTTGTTCTCTCAGGAGACTACTGCTTTGAGGGGAAAGTTCTTCCTTCTAAATCGTGAGCCTAAAATTAAATTCATACACAGGAAAGTCAATAAGCACATGGGCCCTTTATAAACTTAGAATTTTTCTATGAGGAAGTTCACAGGTTCATACATACAAGTGATCAGAGAGGAGGCAGAGGTAGTAAGAGAGGAGATTCCATACATTTGTGATCCTGTTTCATCTTCTTTGGGGATGAACATTTGAAGTACTAATAGCATTAATAACCATTATAGCTAGCACAAAGCAGCAGAATAACACCGTGCTTAAGAATGTCAATTCTGGAGTGAGACTGCTTAGATTCGAACCCAGGGTTCATGCACTTTCTTACATCATAATCTCAAGCAAGTTTTTCAACTGCTTGGTAGCTCAGTTTTCACTTATGCAAAGTGGGAATGATAATTATACTCATCTCATAAAGGAGTGGATACTCAAATATTAGCCATTATTTTTAAGTGTGTTTATTACATGCCCAGCACTGTCCTAAGTCCTTTGCATATATTTTCATTTAATCCTTACAATGATATCCAGGGATAAATATTGTTTTCAAAGATTTTAGAGGTAAGAATGCTGAGGAACAGACAGAAGCATGAGCTTCGGAGTCAAACGGACAAAGCTTGAAGCTGGTCTTCTGCCGACTTTTCGTATGGTGCTGGACAGGCTTCCTCACCTCTCAGGATTTATTTCTCCTTTTACAGAAGGGGAATAATGCCACTCATAGGCTTTGGAAGGAGGAAGACTTCATGAGATAATGAATGTAAACTCCTAGGGTATCTCTGCTTGTTATTACATTTTAATGAATGCCTACCATGTGCTAAACAGTTTATAGTCTTTCCCATGTTCACTCTCTGGTGAGGTCAGTATTATTGTCCTTTTTAAATGAAAGAACACAACTTTTTGGTGAACTCTTTCTCACCACTGCCACACTGGAATCGGGGAAGAGGGAGCAACCTCCCCTGTATGACACCGCAGCACTCTTGGGCCTTGGGCACAGGTAGGTTGTGGAAAGTGACTTGGCCACTGCATCCAGAGGATGGGCCACAATCTGGTGGAAAGGCTGGAAAACCTGGGCATGATTTGAGCAGAGGGGCCTGGCTGGATTGACCTGAGACCACTTCTAGTGGGTGACCTCACTCCAGTCCCAAACCCCTGTGTCTGCTTTCGAGGGAGATGGGGTTGGACGGAGGGGATAGAAACTCTGGCCTTTAAATTGTCTCAAGGGTAAAGGATCTAGTAATTATGAAGTGCCAAAACAGCTCTTTTTTATTTAAAACAATTAAGCCTTTGTCTTTAGGCCAGCTTGGATTTAAATCCTGGATCTACCACGTAACTTCATGACCTTGGCAAAACTACTTAGCCCCTCAGAGCTCCCAATTTTTTATCAGGAAATAGAAAATATCCCACAGGGTTAGAGGATTAAGCAAGAATATGTGTACAGAGCATTTGTAAAAGATGAATGTGTTGTTTCTGAATTTTACTATTATTTTGTAAGAAAATGAACTTAGGACCCTGAAGTATTGGAAAGGAAGGAGCATAGCAAATGGAAAAATGAGATATAGCAAAGTGGATTTAACTCCAGCACACTGATTAAGGGATCTCTAGGAATCAGAGAAAGGTCATGTCCAAGCTTTCAAGTGCCTGATATGGCAGTTCTCTGAACTTTCTTTTCTGAACACATGTGGGCATGTGGTTGTCATGTCACTCTGCTGTGGACATAGCTTTGTACAAAATGATAGGATGCTACGTAGAATGAGAGGCAATGAAAACATTGCTTTGGGTGGGCCCTAAGCTGCTGTTTTGCTGAATAGACCAAGTTGTTTCCACAGAAAGAAACTTTCCATTTGGACTCTGGTCTATTAGGTAATGCAGGTCTTGCCTGACAGTAGTAAGCTGTCTAATACCACATGGCCTTGAGAATCAGTGCTGAGTGGAGATAACGATCATTCACTTATTAGATGTTTGGCTTGCACCAAGTTAGTCAATCTGAGACTCACTGTGATGAATAACACAAATAATAGCCTTACTTAGGGTGTGACAGATGGTCAATAAATGATAGCAACTATTCTCATCAGAAACTGATGGGTGGATCTGTGCACACTTATATTGGAACAAAAAAGCACATCCCTTTAGGATATCCCTATCTAATATGAGTTTTCATTGCTATATGCCATTTCTAGCATAGTGATTATCAGAGAACAGAAAGTCAGTTTAGTGCTTATAAGAGAAATCATTGGTTCATTCCTTCAACAAATAGGCAAAATTGAATGAAGACAGAAAAGAATGATTCTAACAGGTGAATTTGTAGCATTAGGAGTCAGAAAGGTGGTTATCACTGACAGGGTGGGGTAGCTGGAAGGGGTCTCTGAGCATTCTTGGAGGCTGACAACAGTCTGTTTCTTGATCTGGGTGATTGTTACACAGGTGTGTTCACTTTTAGGAAATCCATCAATCTTTACAATTTAAATATTTAGGTTTTTCTATGCATATTTTACATATTTCAACAAAAATGTTTTCCTTAGAAAAAAGATATTCTAAGAATTATCAAATATGGTAAATTTGATGAATAGAAAGATGTCTTACTAGTAAGGTTTATGATGCTTAGGGGAGGGGTGACTGAGTAGGCTATAGATGTAGGATGGAGAAGGTCTCTTCCCTTCTGCACCCAGTATAATGATCTTACTTAGAGCTCATCCTGCAGAATCAGGAGCCAGGAGGTCATTAAAGTTGTGACAGGAGACACCCTCCTATAACATATCTGATCACTGTGTTTTATCCCTATGCATGTACTTATTTAAATGTCCATACTTGCCTTTTAAGTATTCTGCTAGTTCTAATGGAAGTTTGGATAATGAATCAATACAGAGAGACTGAATAAACAAAGTTGGACACTTAGGACGTTGTCATAATATCTAGAGAAATGATGGCAATTTTTAGTTTCACTGGGGTCTGAGAGGAGGGGACGTTCAAATACAATTGATTTGGGGAATAGGTTATGGAATGAAAAGAAATATTAGTTTTTTTTTTGTTGTTTTTCCCTGGAGATTTCATGGATAACAGGAATGGGAGGAAGTCCTGACAGGTATAAGAAAGTAAACTTTGGGGACAAAGTAAGGGAATTACAGTTTGGGCTTCTATGAGACATTCAATTTACAAGGCAAACCAATGTGAAGATATTTAGCAGATACATGGAGATGCAGTCCTGGGGAGAGAACCTGGGGAGACTGGAAAGCCTGAAGGTGCAACATGAAGTTATGGGATCAGAGGAGCTCACATACTGTACTCTGGGCTCCTTGTGTAGTATTATTTATCCTTTACAGGTGGTGACCCGAAGACTTGTCAGCCTCACACTTCTGCCCGCACCAAAGAGAAGTTCAAAGTACTTGGTGCTGTCATAATAGCATTTTTGGTAAGAGGGCTGAAAAATATATTTAAGAGAACGGTGCCTTCCCATTGAGTCCATGTCCACAGGGCAGGAGGCAGGATCAGAAGAAAAACTGCAAGCTTCAAACAGCCAGTGTGAGGTGGAGACAAGACTAAGTTTTTTTTTTTTTTAACAAATAGTTTATTGTCAAATTAGTTTCCACATAACACCCAGTGCTCATCCCCACAAGTGCCCTCCTCCATGCCCATGCCCCCTCCCCCCACATCCATCAGTCCTCAGTTTTTGTCAGCATTCAAGAGTCTCTCATGGTTTTCCTCTCTCCCTTTCCCCCACCATTTCCCCCCTTCTTCTCCCCCTTGTTCCTATACATATAGGAGGATTAGGAGGAAGATGTTATTTTAACAAAAATGAATCATCAGAGTTCCCATCTTGTTTACTAGACTTAGCTTGAAGATCTCTTGCATACTTCCTCTAAGCCAACCCATCTTCACAGGAGAGAAAATGGTCATCCTCTAAGCCAACCCATCTTCACAGGAGAGAAAGTGGTCATTATTGAATAGATTTAAAAGAACCTCTTTGGGGCCCCAAAGGCATTCCCAGGAAAGAAATACAGAAAATGTTGATTTCTTAACAGCACCAGAGGAAAAACTAATCAGCCTCCTCAGAGGAAGGTTTTAAAAACACACTATTTGAATGTGACCTTTCTGGTGTACTTGTTAACAGATAGGGACAGGCTTTCCACAGTCTGACTTAAGAATAAAAGAGGAGTCTATACTCCTTATTCCTAGTACCATTCTAAATATTGACAGAAAATTATTCTCCTTTCTTCATTATTAATCTGAGAAAACACTCTGGAGTAGATCTTTAGGTCTAGCTTAAGTGAAAAAAAGGAGGTTGTTCAGGTTCAAGAGAAGATACTGAGTGGCTAAAGCAGTAAGGAGAGATCAACTCTTAAAATGTATTCATTGTCACCGCATCCAAAGAGAAGGCTAAATTAGCCAGGAGATGCAGGGGGATGGGGCTTCTAAGAGGAATGAAGCTCTTTCGTGGCCTAAGAAAGGGTTATGGGGCAGCTCCTTTCTATCCTACACTTAGTAGGGACTTTATTATAAGTGATGATCACATGAATGAATGCTTTTTACTTGTAGGGTGGACAACTCCTTCCTGGAATCACTATGTTCTCCTGCAATACCAGCACTTCTGGTCATTCTACGTTCCTCCTCACTGGCTTTCCAGGCCTGGAAGCCTCTCATTATTGGGTTTCCATACCCATCAACCTCATCTGTGTGGTTTCCATCCTGGGTAACGTTATAATCCTTCTCCTGATCTGCACAGATCCAGCCTTACATGAACCCATGTACATCTTCCTGTCCATGTTGGCGGCCTCTGACCTGGGCCTCTGTGCCTCTACCTTTCCCACTATGATCTGGCTTTTCTGGTTGGGTACTCGTGAACTGTCCTTTGATCTCTGTGCAGCACAGATGTTCTTCATCCATGCCTTCACCTATGTGGAATCTGGTGTGCTGCTAGCCATGGCCTTTGATCGTTTTGTTGCCATCCGGGAACCCCTGCACTATGCCACAATTCTTACCCACTCAGCCATGGCCAAAGTGGGGGCTGCCATCTTGGTGAGAGCCGTCCTGCTCAACCTCCCAGGACCCATCCTCCTGCGGCGTCTGCTTTTCCCCCAGATCAGTGTACTCTCTCACTGCTACTGCCTGCACTGTGACCTTGTGGGATTGGCCTGCTCAGACACTCAGATCAACAGCTGGGTTGGCCTGGTCTCCATCCTCTTCTCACTGGGCCTCGACTCCTCCCTCATTGTGCTCTCATATGCCCTGATCTTACAAACAGTACTGGGCATTGCATCACCTGGGGAATGGCTCAAGTCACTCAACACATGTGTCTCACACCTCTGTATTGTTCTCATTTTTTATTTGCCCAAACTGGGGCTGTCTGTGTTACACCGAGTAGAGAAGCACAGCTACCCTGCTCTGGCAGTGCTCATGGCCAACCTGCACTTTTTGGTCCCACCTATCATGAACCCCATTGTTTACTGTATCAAGTCTAAGCAGATACGTCAGAGCCTCCTAAAGCACTTCCAGCATAAAAGGGTTGATGTCTTCTAGAATGACAGAAGGATCCAATGGCACATGATCCCTTTGGAGCACTCTGGGTCTTGGGGCAGGGGAGAATTAGTGATGGAGAGTTAATGTTTGAGGGTTCAATGATTCAACTTTTACTATTGAGCAAATTCTAGGGCACTGTTAAATTCTATAATTATAATTTTGGGGGACTGAGACTATTGAAAAGTATATTTAAATATCACTCTGATAATCCTCCCATTGCTCTGATTAGAGCCAAACTACTTCAGACTCATATACTGTGACATCTCCTTACCTAGGGGACCTAACCACAGCAACTGAGAGGATGTGTGTGCATACCCATTTGTGCAGGCACTGCGCTCCTTTTCCTCACTGGACTCCACCACCCTCAGCCCCCATTTCATTTATAAGCCTAAGGAAGAAATATATTGCTATTATATATAAGGTTAGACATAAGTAAACTATATTCACCTTAACACTGGCCCAAACTCAGTATTGACCAGTTTACATAACAGGTAGAAAACAGGGGGTGGATGGTGGGAAACACATAGGATGACACTGCAAATGCTGGATTTATCTAGCACTTATCTGCAGTCTAGGAAGTCATAGTTTTCTCTTGATCCTCTTCATGTGTGTCTCTGCTTTGAGCTTGAAAGAAAGTTTGGTACTGTTAAACTTAGGAAACCTGCTTGATATAACTTCTGGATAGTGCTGGCTTCTCAAGTATCAATGGTAAATGTGAAACAGCCACTCACTTGCAATGCAGGTGATCTGCTAGGATACAAGCTCCATGAGACCAGGGATTTGGGGACGTTTTTGTTCACTGATCTATCCCCTAGCTCTAAGAACAGTGCCAACCACGTAATAGGTGGTCGATATATATTGAATAAATGAGTAGGGGAGACAAAGGAACAAAAAAAGTCTTGATAGCTGACCCTCAGGAAGAGAGAAGACTCAGAGATCCAAATATCTGAGGCCTGTGGAGAGAATGAACAGTTAGTAAACTGCAATGGAATGAAGTCAGGATGAATATCAGAGGCCTTGGGGAAGAGATATGGTTCTCTCTAGATCACATCTGTCCAGAAAGCTGTTTCCAAGGGTGAAGTTCAGAGAGGGGCTTAAGTTTTTTTTGTGGAGATTTCCCCAAAGCTGTTTGCAAATTTCCAGGGGGAATTTTACCCAGAAACTGAAGAGTGTCCCACTCCAGCACTAGCATTGCCCTTGGCCTGTTCAGTTCTAAAACAACTAAAAATTTCATAGAGACTTGAAATAGGGATTTTCCTGGTAGAAAATAACCACTCATATCTAATAGAAAAAGCCACAATAAAGTTATTTGAAACTTCTTGCTTGTATCTATAGCCATCCACATAATTGATAACTTAGTGATTGTTATCATTTCTATGTATCATTTTCATGAACTGAGACAAGAGAATGAAGATCTCAGAGGCAGGAGGCAGGGTTGAGGAACTGTGAGCTTTATATATCCAGTTCCAGCAGGAAAACTTGTTTCTGCTATTAGATGTATTTGCACTGGCCACTGTAGCATGGATTCTAAGAACTCAGAATCCTGTGCTTATCAGTAACTAGGGGGAGGCCACTTCCAACTCTGTGTCTGAAGATCACAGATCTTGCCCATTGAGGTCAAGAAGCAAGGATAACAAATTATGAGTTTAGAGTTACCATTTTAGAATATTACGTCTGATAGTAGCCAACCAAAGGTTTTAAAGTCTAGTTTGACAGGCTACTTTAGAAGGGGAGGTCATTTATAAAGATAGCTTGTGCTATATGACAAGGTTACTCAACTCAAGGCCACAAATATTGGACTAAACAAGCAACTGTGTTATCTAGGTATCTCTGCACACTTCACCCTCCACTCCAATAACAGAGGGTTCTTATCAGAGGACCAGCATGTCTCTCTCTCTGAGGGTCCCACCAATGTCTTTCAGAAACCCACAGCTGACATGATTGTGTTCAGAATCACAAGCAGCCTTGGGCAGTTAAAACAAAAATCACTATATACAGACCTTGAGTCTGGAAAAGTCCTATTCTGGGGGGTTAGCAGAATCAAGTTTGGATATTATACACCCAATTTAGGATTGTAGGGATCCTTTGGCTTTGTCATTTTTACCTTTTCTCAATAGCAGCACTGAACTTGGAACCTTTTCTCATTTTAATCTCTGTCATCGTAGCATGACTATTCCTACATTCCATAGCTGCACTGACATCAAGAGATGGAAGGGTTCTGAGGGTCTCTGTCTCTACTACTTTATCTTCAGGACACAGGCATCCAAGCATGTTCCAATAATGCCTTCCCCACAGACCTGAAAAATATTGAAGTATCTGAGCCTGACACAAAGTGAAGTCCTGAGATGGTTTCTAGAAAGCTGAACTACTAGTCTGCAGTTTAAAGATCAAAGTGTGATACATAGTGGTTTTAGTGTCATTAGTCTAAAAAAAAAAAAAAAACCCTGTGTACATGAATTCTAAAGATCCTGTCCTTAATCTTTAGGCTAGTAAGACTCCCCCATCCCCATGCAGAAAATTGGTTAAAAAATTTTTTTTCTTCTGGACTCTAACAGCAAAAGGCAGAAGTTCTCCATGGTATCTTTAAAAGGGATTCTAATTTCCTGAAACCAGAAGCCAGACTGCTGAAAATCAGATCCAAGATAGGACTTTAAGGGTGGCAAAAATATAGAGATTACTGAATGTAGAGTCTCAATAGGTCATCTGCATCAAAGTAAACTTCCTGACACAGAAAGTATGGAACCTTAAAAGCAGGAAATGAGGCATTTCAGTGAATGAGCCTAAAATTACTAGACCTTCAATATATTCCAAACTATCCAGGCTGGTAGAAGCATCTCTTTTCCCCTTGCAAGAAGACAACAGTTTCTCTGCCTGGGAATCATGACAATTTTATTTGAAGCACATGCTTTGCAAGAGGTTTCTTGCTCTCTTCAAGATCTACTTCATCATTTTTCATTATTTGCAAGCCAAGTTATACCTTAGAATAGTGTAGGTGGAAAAAGACCGTATTTGCTTCTAGAGGCAATAACTTACACACATAGAAAATTGTAGAATGTATAAATATACAGTGTACCTTTTATCTTCCCCCATCAGGAATGCCAGAAGTCTGAATTCTAGTTGAGAAACATTATATTAATATAATAAAATTCCTATACAGATTCTTACTTCACCAGTGTCTTCCCTTCTTTGCGGTCTTTTCCTCTTCTGACCTTGTATCCTATGGTGGCTCAGGCTCTGTATACCAATCCTAAGACTTTGGGAACCATCTCTATTTCTTAGAAAAATGGAATGGATTGTCTTGACCCATTTCACATGGACATTATTCTGTTTCTAGTCACCACAGGATTTAGTATTTGTCTTCAGACTCTTGAGATGAGTCATTCAGGCAGTCATTTTATAGCAACTCATTGCTTCAGAGCACTTATTAGCAGCAGTGACTTCCTTACTCCCATTTAACTACTTATCTGAATAGGATATAATATTGGAACCAGACCTATTGGAGTTACAAAACAGAGAAAAGTGGTGTCATGAGAAAGGCTTATAATCTTGTTAGGAGAATGCTTAAATAGTGGGTATCAGAAAGGACAAAGAAACCAGAGGGCTCTAAAACTGACCCTCGAGTGAGGAGAACAGGTGGGTCTAAGGAAAAGATAAGACAATAGCACAGTACATGTTAGATGAACCAGCTGGACAAGAATGAAAGGAGGATAGAGAGCAATAATCCTGGCCATGAGGTATAGTTTTTCCTGTATTACAAGGTCAGGGAGACTGCAAGGAAGTAACTTCACATAGGTTTATTTAGGGTAGCATCCCAGATATCAGAAATTTCCTGTTAGCAAGACGGAGTTTGACATTTTAATTTCAGTAAGTTGGGAACAATTGGTAACACCTCAGACTTTGATTAAATCTTCAGAAAAGCTGTGTCTTAATAGTACATCCACATACTAAGGGATATGATCTTGGAATAAGGGTAAAATGAAATAATAAGTCTTAAAGCCTGAAGTTAAACCTCATAGGGGAAGATCATTGATCTACCAATAAGTTAAATATTCCTGCTAGAAAAAACTCAAGGCAAAATAACAGACTCCAGAGATTTTTCAATACATCATTTACAACATCTAGGATACAATGAAAAATTACTGTAATACCAAAAAAGGCATAATCAAGAGGAAAAAAATTAACAAAGATTTCCTATAACCATATTTTGGTTTAAAAATAGGTTCTCTTTGTGTTTGGAATTAAATATGAAAACAAATATTTCAGCTTAACTATAAAAACAATTTAAAAAAACGGGGGTGCCTGAATGGCTCTTTCAGTTAAGTGCCTGACTCTTGATTTCAGTTCAGGTCATGATCTTGCAGTGTGTGGGACTGAACCCCTCATCAGGCTCTGTGCTGACAGCATGGAGCCTGGTTTAGATTCTCTCTCTCTTGTCTGCTCACACACTCTCTCAAAATGAATAAACTTTAAAAAATACAAAATAGATAAATAGATAAGATAGATAAATAGATGACAATTGTTACTATGCAATCTCCTTTGGAGCTTCCTAAGTGTAATCTGAAACTGGCCCCTGTACACAGAGGGCAAGGAGAGACAGAAGAAAAAAGTAAACCACTACAGATTGGTGGGTGGAAGGTTTAATAAGCAAGGGAATTTAGATATGAGGCTCGTCTTATGCAGCCACAAGGTGAATTGATCTCCGCATATACCCATCAGAATCTTTTTTTTTGTTAAGAGTTCCATATTTCTTTCTTTCTTTTTTTTTTTTTTTTACAAATAGTTTATTGTCAAATTAGTTTCTACATAACACTCAGTGCTCATCCCCAAAGTGCCCTCCTTCATGCCCATCCTCCCCTCCCCCCCACATCCATCAGTCCTCAGTTTTTGTCAGCATTCAAGAGTCTCTCATGGTTTGCCTCTCTCCCTTTCCCCCACCATTTCCCCCCTTCTTCTCCCCCTTGTTCCTCAGGTAAGTTCCTCCTAATCCTCCTATACGTGCA